CTTGTGTTCCCTCTCTTGCTGTGTCTCTCTCTGTCAAATAAATAAAATAAAATCTTTAAGAAAAAAAAAGGAGATAATATTACTATCTCAAAGTGCCACTCTAAAAGTTAAATGGCATAATGTATAGAAAGGGGTTAACACACTTGCTGCCACAGTATGTGCTTAATTACATATCACTGACTTTATCAGTGGGAATAGTTTAAATAACTCATACCAATGTTACCTAAATGCAAGGCTATAATAGAGCAGTACTATTAGTTAAATGGAAATAGTATATTAAACATTTTGGCCACTTCTCGTTTTATTTATTTAACTGTAACATATTTGGCATTGTTAAACAAAAGTAATTTTAGTATCTATTTTGTTTCATAGCTTTAAGATCTACAGGTATTATCAAAGACTTCTCAAAACTATCTTGTGTTTTAGAAAATACATTTTTGATGTAGACTTAATCAAAGTTATATTTTGAAAAAAATCCTATGTTTTTTCTTTATTTTGCTAGCTTCTGTTTCATTTGAAAGATGTAGTTGGCATTTATGGGCATTATAAATAGTCTTAAGGCTTTCAAATAGTCATATGGTGCTATTAAAGCGTGGTGAGACCCTGAAACTTGACTAAGTCAAGAAAATGTATTCAGATTTAAAAGGGAGCAATAGTGTGACACTTTGTGGGTTGAAATTTGTAGAGAAAAATGGGATTCAGAACTTGTCAATGATTCTGTAATCCATGTCATAAATAAGATGTAGATTTAAGTCATGTATCTTAGAAGGATTAGCAGGAAATGTAGGGTACTTCTTTTGTGCTGTTACAAATTAGATTTTTCTTTGTTCCCTTGAGAAGCCAGATTGAACAATAGAATATTCTGAAAGAGAATTGCTGAGCACCAAGGCCATGTTTTTGAAAACTAAGTATAGGAGGAACAGAGATGTATGCTGGGCATTCTGAATCAATTATCGGTGAAATCCTCTCATATCATTCACAATAGAAGCCCCCAAGTCAAGGCTGACTTTTCTAGCATTCACAGCTTCTAACAGGCTTAGCCTTGCACATTTATAAAAGACTTTTTTTTTTTTTTTTTTTGCAAAATAAAGCATCCTAACAAAGATAAAAATCTCCATTTCTTAGAGGTGGGCATAAAATGAGCCCTACCTTTACTCTTCACACAGTCATAAGACACTTAGTTAAGTTCATTAGTAAATGGCACTAGGTTCAAGGCTAGGTCACTGTTGACCAGTTAGTCTTCCACAGTGGAAAGAAAAATGTAGGCCACTCATGTACTTCTAAGATCTGTTCAAGCGAGAAATTCAAAGTTTGTGTGAATGAAAAACATTACTAGTTTGGGGGGAGCAGTGAGTGAATATAGCATATGTTAAATAAAGCAATACATACACAATGTGTAATTGAAAATATGAACTACGATCTAATTTTAAGTATTGCTAAACAACTATAGAAAAGTAGAGCTATTATCTGTGTTCTTAAGTATATCTGTCTAAATAAAAGGATGAAGTTCTGTTTGAGACCAAGAAATATTCCAAGATTTTTTTAAAATAATTCTGAAATTCCTATGTAAAATATTTTCTGGCTACCAATTTATATCATTCAGTTAAATAAAATTCTTTGCATTTTGATTTTCTGTAGACATCCAAGTAAAGACTGTGACTTACGGAAAAGTAATTGCTTTGAAAAGTCTTTGTAATATACAATGACAAAGGGAAACAAAGTCTGTTGAGTTTTAGTGAGTCGGGATGCCACATTGACTTCTTAAGAGTCGAATCTTTATAAGAATGAAGAATATGTTTTCATATCCCTATTAAACAGTAATATTTATTGAAAATGATTTTCTGAGGTACTTGGGCTCGTTTTATTTTTTATCATAGAAAGATTATGTTTTATATCTTTTAAGTACTATGGTCTTAGGGAAGTAGACGAGACTAAAAATATTGGTTGAGGACAGATAGGCACCAGCGTAACCACATAAACACTTGGTAACATGAAACAACAACAACAAAACCTAATAGTAACTTTTAGCTTTTCTAATGCACCAGTTTTTCTACAGAGTTGTAGCCAGAAGAATTACTTAAAAACATCTTCCTAAATAATGTCTACTTACGAATTTAAGTAGGAGAGAGTGAAAGAAAAAAAAATATGCAGGTAATTATAATGGAAGTAGCAGGGGAAGATAATAGGTTCAGGAAATAACGTAAACTTCTTTTTAACACAGCCGGTATTCTGCATTAGTTTCATTCTTCTGTCATCTGCAGATTACCCAGTTATTTCAGTATTGTTTAGCCTGAGTTAGGCTAATGGCATAGAAATGGAGAGATATGAGACACCTTAGTGATTCTGGAGAAGCTATTTCATTTTATAAGGTTAAGCAGATAAAAGTCTGTTCATTTTAGGAACCTAATTTAAGAAACCAAAATAAGATATGTGTATTAGTCAAATGTAATAGATAGCATGGATCAGAAAAATACAGCCAAATAGCCAAGAAGGATCAAAAATGGCATTCATACTTTTTGGTTGGCTTTGATGCTTTACATATTTAATGCACTTTTAACTTGTTCAGTATAGTTTGAGAAAAAAACGAATTCCTAATGCAGCAATTTATTTTACTTTGTAGTTTTGGTGTTTTAAGGAATTGGAACACTATAATTGAAAGAATGTCTCTCTAAAGTTCTCTGATTAAAGACTGGAACTAACTTTGCCCTTCCACGGCAGATTCTTTGATTTTGATTTCTTGCTTCGGACATTCAAGTAAAGATAATGACTAATAGAATAATGATGGCACTAAAAAAATCTTGATAAATATACGAGGGCAATTGGAAGCATCTGTATCCTTAATCTGGAATTAAGCCTCGCACATGTGATAGGTATACGGTCCCATTTCTTACATTTGAATGAAACTTAAAATCAGTTCAAGTGCCTATTATTACAGATTCTTTATGTCCTTGGTTCATTTGCAGATGAACAAGTTTTGAGAAAAACATTTTGATACCTACTTCAGTAACGTCTTACCTGAAAAGGAATTTTCAGATATATAAACTGCAAACTTTAAGACCCATCACCGTAATAAGACTATTTCAGAGCTTGACTTGTCCCCCAAGTACCTAAAAGTATAATTAACAATCAGCATATCAAAGCCTGATACTTAGTAGTTGTTGTCAAATAAAACTAAGAAAAGAATTAGCCTTGAAAACAAACAAAACTTTATTAAAAATAATTAGATATCAGTTGTTGCTTAATGTGAATTAAAGAGTGAAGGCAACTGAAGAGATAGCTAGAGTAGATTGGCAATTAATGAAGTGTATCTGAATCATAAATAAACATGATTATTTGTTCAGTAGAATATTACTGTAAAATTCATGAATGTTTAAAGAAAAGTACAACGTTCCTCCTTTTCTGTGATAAATATTCATGAATAGTATTAGTTCAGGTTATCTATGTGAATATAAATTTTTATATAACGGGCCACTTAATGTTCATTGGATCATGCTTTTGAATATAAATTCACTAGTATCTCAGGCACATCATGGTTCTGACCCAGCTCATGAATATTCACACACACAACTGATCTTTCTGCAAGTAATCACATCCATAAAGATGGAAATCTTATTAGTTCTCAGTAATGAGAAATGCATTAGGATGCTGATCCCAGGACAATTTCACAATACCCTTGTTTTCATTTTTTTTGTACATGATAAACTTTATAAACACATATGCCGCACATCTTTCTTGTTAGAAACTCTTCTTTTTCCTTTACAAAATATTGGGCTCAATTTAACCGTGACTGCATTTGCTTTCTTGATTTGCTGTGGTCACAGAAAAGAATAGAAATTAAGAAGTATCTCCGGTCCTTATCCCACACTCATTTCCACTGTTTAGGCTTGACCATAGATTCTCAAGTGCACAGTGGTCCAATCTCCTGATCTGCTGGGGGCACGGTACATATTTTCCATATAAAGGGGGACAAAAAGCTGTGAGATGATGTATGTCATCTTTTTGTGTAAAGGGAAAATAATATTCTAAGCTAAGGAAATGTTTACTACATTAAAAATAAGGTGCTCTGATCATGGAGGCCCATAATTATAAATTATATGCTAAATCCCACATTGTGATTGCTTCTCTTTAATTCTAATGGATGGCATGTGTTTTTAATACCTATCTATCCAAGTTCAATCAGTAGTTATAAGTAAGAATCAAAATCGATGGCCTGGCCCTTATTAACATCATTCTCTAATATTTAATTGAACTAACCAGAGAAAAAGAACTATTGCTTGCAAAGGTAATAGTAAAGCATCAGCTACTTCTGATTTCTAACACTGGTATTGTCAAGCCTCTGAATGAATTTTCTCTTTGTCAAGATGTATACATTTGTTGTTGTTGTGTAAACAGTTAATAGATGATGATAGATGACAAACATCTTTTTTTTTTTTCCAATTCCAGTAGGGACCAAATTATGTTAGTGTGTTACAGAGATTCATCAGTAGTGAGGGAAGTGTGGCCATTAAACTGTGTCCTCAGGTGTTTCTAGGTTTCTTTGGAGCTGCTTCAAGGGGAAGTATGCCCCCCCCCCCCCCGCCCCTTCTCAACCATGAGAGCTGCTATGGCCTGTTTTACGTATCACAGTGGTTCTCAACAGGGAGCGGTTTTATTTGTATTCTGACAATGTCAGAAACATGTTGCTTATCACAGCTTGGGGGTGGGGGTGTGTGGTACTGTCATCTAATGGGTAGAGGCCATAAATGCCGCTAAACATTCTACAAAACACAGAATAGCTCCAACAACAAAGAATTACCCAGCCCAGAATGTCAGTATGGCTTCCATCATATAATCATTTGTTTGGAGAAATAATTCCATGTCTAAACTTGTTGACAAACCACCGGATTAGAGTACTTTTAGAGCTAAAGTGATGGAAAGGTTTAACATAATTTTGCAAATAAATGAAGACTGATTCAATAAGTAATTATAAATTTGAATTTTTCTTTTTTTTTTTTTATCAGCAACAATTGTGTTAAATGAACTCAACTGGACAAGTGCCTTAGACGAAGTTTTCAAAAAAAATCGAGAGGAAGATCCTTCATTGTTGTGGCAGGTGTTTGGCAGTGCCACAGGCCTTGCCCGATATTATCCAGGTAAGTGCTCAGTGACTTAGTAGGTATCAAATAAAATGGTAAGTACCAGACTTAATTTTCTTGATATTTCTTTTTCTTTTTTTTAAGATTTTATTTATTTGAGAGAGAGAGAATGACAGATAGAAAGCACGAGAGGGAAGAGGGTCAGAGGGAGAAGCAGACTCCCCGCCGAGCAGGGAGCCCGATGCGGGACTCGATCCCGGGACTCCAGGATCATGACCTGAGCCGAAGGCAGTCGCTTAACCAACTGAGCCACCCAGGCGCCCTCTTGATATTTCTTATTACCAAGCTAATATCCGTTAGCTTCTCCCATCTGTGAGAAAAAGATAGCACACTACTTTTAGAAAGAAAGCGTTTTAGAACGCTTTCCTTACATGGCTCTGCATCTACCCAAATCACTTTAACCCTCGAGACCTCAGGAGCAGTGGGAGCTGTTGGCATCTGGAATCAGGCCAGGCTACAGTGATGCCACGAGCAGGTGTCTGTGTACCTCGGACAGGAGGTTATCATGAATCATGAATCCTAAAACAGTTCTGAGGTGAGGGTCCATCTGCTCAGATGGACAACATGTTGAATCACATTGGAGAATGGAATAGAATTTTTAGAAGCTAATTAAAATATTTCTCCAGACTTCAAGTTTGTGTTTTTTATATGAAAAGTGTTGATGCTTTGCTTTAATCAGTGAGTGGGGATTTGTTAAAATGAGTATGACGGGAAATGAAATTTCAGAGAAAATAGAGCTTCCGTAAGTGTCATGTTGGATTAATTTTGAGGGTATATTAGTGATGGTACATATTCAGTGAAGATCAATATATTTTACACAGTAAAATGAATAAACCCTTTTGTAAATCCTTTATTCTATAAAGGAGGGTAAGGAGAAATAAATCAATAACAAAAAAGAAAAGTTTATGACTCGTATAGATCCCGAGAACCTGTTGAAAAGACTTTAAGTGAAATGTCTGCTGATATTTTTAAATTCACCTTTTAGAATGGGCTGACAAGCACAAATGCTTTTGCTTGAGTGTTATGGGATACATGTTAGGTAATTTGACTTTAAACAATTGTAATATACAGAACAGTTCTTCTTGAGACTTAAGTTTTCTAAATATCTTTAACAAATAGAATTATTCACAATAAAAAGTCACACCAGTGAAAATGGGGTGAAATAGACATTAGCTAATATCTAGCTTTGTATGGCAATAATAAAAAAAGTACGTAGGCATCATCAGACTGAATAGCACTAAGATTAGGTAGACATTCTGCATGGATGCAAATGCCAGATGGTAAGATTAGTGACAGTTCTTTTGTAGAAACCCAGTGGGCTAGTCAAGGCCTACTTCATTTTTCATTGTTGAAAAAAATCATGAGTTAATAAAATAATGTTAGTATCTATGTAATATTACCATATAGGTTGTAGTAGAATTTTCTACTTAAATATGGTTCAGTGTAATACAGCCCTTCTAAATATTCTTATTTACTAATATGTTAAATATCATGTATCAAGAGACTGAAAATTTTAGTATATAAGATCATATTAAAAAAAGCAACACTACTCATGAACATAATAAACGTGATAAAATAAACCTTGGGCATCTGGATGGCTCAGTCAGTTAAGCGTCTGCCTTCAACTCAGGTCATGATCCCAGGGTCCTGGGATTGAGCTCCACGTGAGGCTCCCTGCTCTGCGGGGAGTCTGCTTCTCCCTCTGCCCCTCCCCACTGCTCGTGCTCTCTCTCTCTCTCTCTTTCTGTCAAATAAATAAATAAAATCTTTAAAAAAAAAATAAACCTTAAAGTTATATCAGGTCTTACAAAACATTTCTAAGTGTCATTTTGAAACATAGTAATTAGACACCTGATGACCTATTCAGTAATACACAGGTATTTGAATGCATTTATCAATAACTTAGAGTATTATATAGCTGTAAAGTCTTTTAAAATGTATTGCCTCATTACAAATTCCATTTCTGAAAAATTGATGGAAAGGTGGAAAAAGATAAGAGGAAAATTAGTGTAATAATGAAAAACCAAGAGCCCAGTACCAAAGGAAATTGATGATACTGAGAAAAAAGAAGAGAGACAAGGATTCTAAGAGAAATAGGAAAGGGAACAGAGGGAAGATTGCATAAGAAAGGAGAGAGAGGGGCGCCTGGGTGGCTCAGTTGGTTGGGCGGCTGCCTTCGGCTCAGGTCATGATCCTGGAGTCCCGGGATCGAGTCCCGCATCGGGCTCTCTGCTCGGCGGGGAGTCTGCTTCTCCCTCTGACCCTCTTCCCTCTCGTGCTCTCTATCTCTCATTCTCTCTCTCTCAAATAAATAAAATCTTTAAAAAAAAAAAAAAAAGGAGAGAGAACATGGGGTCAAGAAGAGGAAGGAAAGAGCAATTGAGTTTTGAGCATTTTTTTAAAGATGGCTCTTTTTACAAATAGCAGCTAACTTTTAGCCTTCCTAATTATCTTCTATATTTCATTTTAAATGCTAATCAAGGACAATGGCTTTGATTATTTTTCTTAACCCTCTTCATATATTTTTAAATGTGTTGATATTTGTCCACTTGATCTTGGAAAAGATTTTTGAATGTTTAATTTCGCTGAATCCTTACGATTCCCCCCTAATATCAGCCATGGAAGCAACCCTCGGCCTCTCGCAGTGGTAGTTTTTGAGCAAAGGTATGCCAGACAAGTTGGTTCACTAAACGACTGACGGCTTTAAATCATTTACCTGTTAGAGGAGGTCATTTAACATAGCTGTCTTGACTGCTATGAAATACACTTGACATAATTGAACTTTGGTGATTCCTTCCTAAGTTCTTTTCATTTCCTTTTGTTTCTGACTACCTTTTGGCATATGGAAGCCATACATGATGGGTACAGCTTGATGAGTTTGGAGATAAGTATACATACACCCCTGATACCATCACTACAATCAGTACTATAAACCTATCCATCATCTCTAGAAGTTTCTTTCCACCATCTATTTATTATTCTATTTTTTGTGATAAGAGGGTTAGCAGTATTTTTATATAATATAGTATTTAATCTTTATAGTATATAATATATCTTTATATTTTTATAATATAATACTTATTTAATATTTATATATATTTAATATATATTTATATTTTTATAATATTTGATATTTATAGTATATAATACAGTATTTTTTACTATAGGTATTATGTTAAACAGAAGATCTCTAGGGTTTATTCCTCTTGCATAACTGAAACTTTGTATCCTCTGACTAATACCTCCCCATTTCCCACTTGCCGCGACCCTGGGCAACCACCATTCTACTCTACTTCTATGACTTTACTCTTTAAGTTTCCTCATGGAAGTGGCATCATGTAGTATTTGTCTTTTTGTGTTCGGCTTATTTATTTGGTTAAAGGCTGAATGATTTTTTTAAATATATGTTAACAATATAATGGAACCAAGTCTCTATCATAAGACATGAAGACAATATTATAATTAAAAACTAAGACACCATGTATCTGTTGGTGCTGACGTGTTTTTAAAACATCCAACCCTTTTTTCAAGTTTAAAGGCTTTTTAAATGAAGTGATTTTTAAAATTTATTCAGGAAATCATACGTTTTTTCTCTGATCTTACCATTTTGATACAGGCCAGGATAAGGTAGAGTGGCTCATCCCTAATAATTGTCTGTTAAAGTAAAGGTCAAAAATAGCCTTTACTATTGTTAACTGTCTTACTATAATGGAAATAGAATATATGTTACTTTGACGTAATTGGAGTTTTATATAACAAGATTTGTACCTCAGGCTTAGATGTCCCTATTAGCTGTGAGAAACTGGTTGGATTTTCTAAATTTTCTCAGCCTTGATCATCAAATCTGGAAAAAAAATATGAACACCAACTCTTCGGTTTATTCCTGAAGGTTGTTATCAATAAGATAATAAACTGTAAAGTACTTTGGAAATAGAAAACAGTAGGCATTTTTACAAAAGTGAATATCAACTAGAATAATTTTTTTTCTAAATTCACCTTTCTCTTCATATGAGAAAATGAAGAACATAATTGAGATTTCAGTCAGTTGACAAGGAAACTGAAATAGCCATCTGTTTATGACCCCTTCCACATTTCTAAGCAATAATATCTACCAGTTAACACCACATGGGAGAGGGGGTCCGGAGATGAAGATTTTAGCCTCTGACCTTGGTTAGGGCACTTCTCAATAGGGTTTCCAGGTAAAATAAGAGTTGCTCAGTTAAGTTTGAATTTCACACAAATAACAAATAATTTTTTAATACAGGTATGCAGTATTTGGGAAATACACTAAAAACATCTGATCTTTATCAAAATTCAAATTTAACTGGGTGTCCTATATTTCTTTTAGCTAAATCTGTCAACCATATCTGTCATGTTCTGAGTTTCTACATTTTTAATGTAGGAAAATCAGCTTCCACATTATGTCATGGAATTCTTGTGGAGATCAAACAGAATCTATTATATACATTAATCCAAGTGTAGAAATTTTATATTTAAAAAAATTCTGTCAACTGTCTTTTAAAAAAAAAATTTTTGCCACAGGGGTGCCTGGGTGGCTCAGTCGGTTAAGCGTCTGCCTTGGGTTCAGGTCATGATCCCGGGGTCGTGGGATTGAGTCCTGCATCAGGTTCTCTGCTCAGCGGGGAGTCAGCTTCTCCCTCTCCCTCTGCTTGTGTGCACTCTTTGTCTCTCAAATAAAATCTTTTTTTAAAAAAATATTTGCCACAATTACTGAAAATAAAGTGTTTTTGCAAAAACTAGGATCTTCTGACTCACAATAGAGTCTAAGAAATGTTGTTCCATGTTGAGATGCAATTTAGAGCAGGGCTACTTGGCATGAGTGGATTAAGCAAGTATATTCTACCCAATAACCAGGGTATGAATGTCACTTCCGTCATTTGATGTGGTGGCAACCTTTGGAAAATACTCACAGACTTCAGCAAATAATAGGAAGACAATAATGTTTAGATCGTAGAATTGTAAAAAGAAGAAAATGA